CGAAGCCCGGGGAGCCCGCGCGCTGACGCTCACCTGCCTCCGCGAGGAAATAAAGCGCAGCCCGGACGCGACAGGGGCGGTGGGGACGGGGGAAAGGGGAAAAGGATGGGCGGATTACGGAATCCGCAAAACAATCGTGCCCCTGAGCACCCGGCTTTTCTCAACACACACCCTTCGGGCTCCTGCTTCCGCTGCTTCCAAATCCCCCCTCGGGGAGCGATGGTAAAGTCCGCGGTACGGCAAGCGCGGGGAGCCCAGTTTAGTACGATTGCTAAAGGCCACGGAAATCGATTCGAAATGATTCCCTGCTGTGCTCTCAGTGAATAAGATAATCGCGGTAGGCTGAGCTCAAGACCCACAGTCCCCACCAAGTTGGAGGACTGCTAAAACCAATGCGTCAGAATGGCGTTCTCAACAACAATGTTTTTTCTTGAGTTGCGCCTATGTGTATGTTCTAAGGCACCTCAATCCTCTTGGCAACACAATTCCATAGGCTTTGCAAATGATGAAAAACATATTAGCCAAGCTACCTTTCCCACTGAAAAACTCCCACTGGGTGCTTATCTACAAATTCTGGGACGTAAATGTATTTTCAATAAAGGAACTTCTTTTCACAGCTTTGATCACCCAACTTCCCACCTCGTCTTCCCCAATCTCCAACCATACCCATTAAAGTTTTGAATGGTAACGTTGATACAAATGCAGAATTACTCATCACCTCTGCATACACACAGGGCCACAAGAGGAAAAAAGCCAGGTTTTATTCGTTATTTGCATTCCATGTCAGCAAGTTCTCATGGTCATAGGTACCTTCCGAGCAAGCTTTTGCTTTCCAACCCTTCCAAATTGTGCCAATACTTCCGGGCCCATTGGAAATCGTGCCTCCTAAACTGGGCGTGGTGGCTCACGCCTGGGAGCCTAACATTTTGGGAGGCTGAGGTGAGTGAGCTCAGGAGTTCCAGGCCAACCTGAGCAAAAGAAAGAGCCCTTCTCTACTAAAAACTGAAAAACTAGCCGGGCCTTGTGGTGGGCGCCTGTAGTGCTGGGTAGGCTGAGGCAAGAGGATTTCTTAAGCCCAAGAACTTGAGGTTGCTGTAAGCTGTGATGCTATGGCACTCTACCCAGGGTGACAGAGTGAGACTCTGTCTCAATAATAATAACAATAATAATAATCCTGTCTCCTGACCTGATAAATCCCATCAATCTTTCTCCTCTGACTTTCTCAGGAACTTCAAGTCTGTACTCTTTATCTTAATACAGAGTTATTATGTACTAAATTCAACACTTTGTTTTCATTCTGTGACCTGTTTTACTCCTATGTGCTCCTTAATCTGATAATTCTCGAAGTGTGGTGGCCAGACCTCAGGAAATTCCCAAGACCTTTTCAGAGGTCTCAAGGCTAAAAACTATTTTTGTAACAATACAACATGTTCTTTGTCTTTTTTGCTGGGTTTACATTTGCACTGACGGTACAAAGCCCTAGTAACACTGCTGACACCTTGGCAGGAATCAAGACAGTGGCACCAACCTGTCCCAGTGGTCATCAGATCATTGTATTCTTCCCTGCCACGTACAGGAAAGAATCATTTTTTTTAAAATAATGATTCAGGGACATCCTTGATGAACTAGTAAAAAGTATTAATTCTATTAATTTTTTTTTTTTGAGACAGAGTCTCACTATGTTGCCCTTCATAGGGTGCTGTGGCGTCACAGCTCACGGCAACCTCTAATCTTGGGCTTAAGCGATTCCCTTGCCTCAGCCTCCCAAGTAACTGAGACTACAGGAGCCCGCCCCAATTCCTGGCTATTTTGTTGTAGTTGTAGTAGTTGTCATTATTGTTTTTAGCAGGCCGGGGCTGGGTTTGAACCTGCCAGCCCCAGTATATATGGCTGGCACCTTAACCACTGAGGTAAGCCAATTCTATTAAATTTTGACCCCTTGGCTCGGTGCCTGTGGCTCAAGTGGCTAAGGCACCAGCCACATACACCTAAGGTGCTGGTTTCGAATCCAGCCTGGGCCCACCAAACAACAATGACAGCTGCAACCAAAAAATAGCCGGGCGTTGTGGCGGGCACCTGCGGTCCCAGCTACTTGGGAGGTGGAGGCAGGAGACTCGCTTGAGCCCAGGAGTTGGAGGTTGCTGTGAACTGTGATGCCACGGCACTCTACCCAGGGGGACAGCTTGAGGCTCTGTCTCAAAAATAATAATAATAATAATAAATTTTGACCCCTAAAAGCAATCTAATATTTTGTTTGAAGAAATGAGAAGTACACACACATCTCTGCTGCATGCCAAAGCAGGAAGGCTGTCTTAAAGAAAAAGCACTTGTGTGCCTGAGTCACAAGACGAGCTGGCTGTATTTTTCGTGAAACACCATTTTTCCTTGAAAGAACAATTGACAGACAAACATGTTATTCTAACTTGGGAATTCACAAATATTTTCTCCGCAATAAACAAAGTGAGCCTAACACTTCAAGCAAACATCTGATGGTGGTATTCATTGCCAATGATAGAATTTAGCTTTCGAGTGAAATTTGAAAATTTGGAAAACTCGTGTTCATCAACATAAGCTTGACAGCTTACACTACTTAAAAGAATTTTCTGATGGCACTGTGATGCTGAAAATGATGTGACTTTTTGATAGTGTATGATAAAATATGTTAACATAACCAATATTCTCCAAATAACCAATGATGAGTGTTACAAAAGCATGCAAAATAAAAGATTCATTCAAAGTGCAAGATAGCCAGATGAATGGATATATTTATGTATCTCTGTGTGTATGTAACACATAATGTGAATATGAAAGAAAGGTTCATTGATATGGTTTCAGATTCATCATTGCAACAAACATTTAAGAAACTACCAGCTCAGCGCCTGTGGCTCAAGTGGCTAAGGCACCAGCCACGTACACCCAAGGTGGCAGGTTCGAATCCAGCCCAAGCCTGCCAAACAACAAATGATGGCCGCAACCAAAAAATAGCTGAGTGTTGTGTCAGGTGCCTGTGGTCCCAACTACTTGGGAGGCAGAGGCAGGAGACTCACTTGAGCCCAGAAGTTGGAGATTGCTGTGAGCTGTGATGCCACAGCATTCTACCCATGGGGATAGCTTGAGGCTCTGTCTCAAAAAAAAAAAGAGAGAGAGAGATTGGTAAAATATAAAAGCAATACTATTCTTTTCAGTAAATTTTTTTGGGGGGGGAAACATAGTTATTTTCCATAAAAACATACAATTAACATTTAAATGTACATAGGTTTATTATTTTTAAATTAATTAACTTTTCTTTTCTTTTCTTTTTTTTTTTTTTTTTGCTTGTAGGAAAGGTCTTTATTGGTGAGGGGAGGGAGGCTGTAGAGCAGCACCGAGGAGGAGAGAAGAGAGGGGAGAGAGATAAGGAGAATTGGGGAAGAGAAGAGAGAGAGAGTAGAGAAGAGCCAAGGGGAAGACGGGAGAGAGAGGGAAGGAAGGCAGAAGGCGGGGAGAGAGAGCAATTAATCAACTTTTCTAATCTCTCCTTTGCAGTTCTTTTTGGGTCTTCTTTTTTTTTTAAGAGACAGAGTCTCACTTTGTCGTCCTCAGTAGAGTGCTGTGGTGTCACAGCTCACAGCAACCTCCACCTCTTGGGCTTAGGTGATTCTCTTGCCTCAGCCTCCCTAGTAGCTGGGACTACAGGTGCCCGCCACAACCTCAAGCTATTTTTTTTCTTGCAGTTTGGCTGGGGCCGGGTTCGAACCTGCACCCTCGATGTATGGGGCCGGCGCCCTACTCACTGAGCCACAGGCACCGCCCTGGGTTTTTGTTTTGGAGACAGAGTCTCACTTTGTCACAGTCGGTAGAGTGTAATGGCAGCATCACAGCAACCTCAAACTCTTGGGTTCAAATGATTCTTTTGCTTTAGCCTCCAAGTAGCTGGGAGTACAGGCACCTGCCAGAACACCTGTCTATTTTTAGAGATGGTTCTTGCTCAGGCTGGTCTCAAACTTATGAGCTCAGCCAATCCACCTGCCTTGGGCTCCACGCCTGCCCTGTTTTTTGTTTTTTCTTTTTAGACAAAGTCTCACTCTGTTGCCCTGGACAGAGCGCTGTGGCATCATAGCTCACAGCAACCTCAAACTCTTGGGCTCAACTGATCCTCTTTCTTGCCTCACCCTCCCAAGTAGCTGGGATCACTGGCGCCCACCGCAAAGGCCAGCTAGTTTTATGTTTTTTGTTTTTTTTTTTTTTCAGAGACAGAGTCTTACTTTGTCACCCTCGGTAGAGTGCCATGGCATCACAGCTCACAGCAACCTCCAACTCCTGGACTTAGGCAATTTTCTTGCCTCAGCCTCCTGGGTAGCTGGGACCACAGGTACCTGCCACAACGCCCAGCTATTTTTTTTTATTGTTTGGTGCGGGCTGGGTTTGAACCCACCACCCTCAGTAAATGGGGCCGGTGCCCTACTCACTGAGCCACAGGCACTGCCCTAGTTTTTCTATGTTTAGTACAGATGAGTCTAGTTCTTGCTCAGGCTGGTCTTGAACTCCTGAGCTTAAGCAACCCATAGGCCTTGGCCTCCAAGTGCTAGGATCACAGGTGTGAGCCACCTCGCTCAGCCTTGAAGTTCCAATATAGTAACTATCAATAAACAATTTACACAAACATAAACTCTTTGAGGTCCTCACTAGGTTTTAAGAGTGTAAAGTGGTCCAGAGACCCAAAAGTTTGAGAACTGCTATTCATGAAATTCCTCTGGTCTTGTCACATTCCTTGTAAACTCTGGTTGGACATGTAGACTAGCAGAATTGCTATAACACCCCCTTCTACTAAATTCCAGACACCTCCCACCCCTTCCCAGCTTACACAATCTCTCTCTCTCTCTTTTTTTTGAGACAGAGTCTCACTCAGGCCCTGCCACAGCATCATAGCTCACAGCAACCTCAAATTCTTGGACGCAAGTGATCCTCTTGCCTCAGTCTCCCAAGTAGCTGGGAGACAGCCACCACAAGTTTGGCTGTTTTTAGAGACTGGTCTCACTCTTGCTCAGGCTGTTCTCAAACTCCTGAGCTCAGGCAATCCACCAGCTCCACCTGCTACTTTTTTTTTTTTAGAGGAGTCTGGCACTTCCTCAGGCTGATCTTGCACTCCTGAGCTCAAGTGGTCCACCTGCCTCAGCCTCCCAGAGTATTAGGATTACAGGTGTGAGCCAATGCACCCTGTGGCCTATC